GAGTGCTCACTTTGAAGGAGGCCTCTTAATATTTTCTGTGACTCGGAGGAGCCACCTTTGCTATTTAGAAGCAAGTTAGCGTAGCACGGGGTGTTTTCTGAATGGTAGCGTACCATTGGGAGGCTCAATCGTCCGAGACTGCTACTGTACAACAGTTTCGTCCCGTCTGGTGGTATTCGGAGGGAGATTTGTGTTTAGTAGCAGAGACACGTTAGGATACCGCGGAGGCTTTGTGCCATGCGGGACGTGTGGTACGGGGGAAGTCTCCCTCCATACGCCACAGAAAATATTAATCAAGGCAATTCAAAAGAAAAACAATAAATATACCATACATGTGTGTGGCGTTTCCGGTTCGAAAGCTCACTACTCGTTGGCGGGGGAAACTGTACCCTGTTGGTTTAGGAGGGACTCTCCCACAAGTGGTGGGGGAGCATGCAACTGGAGGCGAAACCAATACTTGGCGTGTTTGTGTCCACTTGGAATCCGGGCATTCGGAGTTTTACGTGTTGTTCGTATGACAGGGGCGAGGTCGGTGGTTTTGAGACCGACTGACTTCTCTCTCATGCAGATCCCATGCTCCCGGTACGCCGTAAACGCATGGCACATGTTTGCAGCCCAACCTGATGCTTGAAACAGAAGTAGCTTGAGGGCACCTGAGACCCCCTCCAATCGCATGACTTCTCAAATAAAAGTGAAAATTTGGGTGAGTATTTGGGCACACTGCCGAACCCACTGCACCGACTGGTAGGTGCGTGGGAAGGGAGTTCGTCGCGAGGCATATAGCTCTCTGATACTGGTTGCTGTAGTCAAACCCACCTGGCTGGACATATTGGCTCCGGCGATCTGCTAGAGCCTCCAATGGTTGTCGACACCTCGCATCCCCTCAAATCTAACACTTGCATGGAATGGAGTCAGGCCCCTGGTGCATTCTCTCCGCTTCACTCAAGTACTGTACATATGGAGTACATGCAGTTCAAACGTTGATCTTGGCCCACTACACAACGCGTGCGTGTGCGGTCTTCTGCCACATGGACATCTCGTCTGTAGCAAACGACGTCCGCTGAGCATGCTTTCCGTCATCCCGCCTCCAACCGTTTTTCTATTGTCAATGCTGGGATGCAGAGAGAGAGAGAGAGAGGGGCGACAAGGCACGGCGCTATGGGAAGCGGCGGGTCACTGTACTGGTTCAATATTGTACGTGGGTTGACACCTCGAAAGTTCGTTGATTCATATCGGATGAACCATGTTCTATAGTACGAAGTACAGGAGTACAGCCACAACCAGTACTTCGAGGCGCTACCCACCCGAGAAACTAGAAAAATGGCTCCAATCGAAGGCCGAGCGTGTAGTCGTTTCTGCGAGCAATGAGGGAGAAAACATCATGATGCGTGTTCGAATCCGAAGAAACAACATATGTATCGACTGGCGCGACTCCGGAAACGGTTGATAGTTGGCGAGCTGGTGGGGGGGGGAGGGCCCAGGAAGGGGGCAACCGAAGAAAAAACGGCCGAAGTGCCTGAAGGAAGACCCTAAGATGTTCGAGGCAGAGCACGGATCTACGGATATCGAGCCATGCGCCTTCGGAGTCCCCTAAACAACTCGGATGGAAGCAGCGAAGGTGGAGCGGGGTGTACCGTGGCAAACGGGGGTACTGCAGGGAGCTAAGAGGTTCATGACCTCCTGGCACAAGAAAGAAGAGGAATCTTGCCGACAACGAGCGCTCAAACGAAACAAGACGCCCGGCAACAGCACGGACACGGCAACAACCACTGGGGAGGGACGGGTGAGGAAGACAGACGAGACGGCGAGGGAAGACAGGAAAAGCGAACAGGCGGACCGAGTGGCGCGAAAAGCTGTGCCGGATTGAACCCCTTGAATAACTTATCCCCTCCCCTTCCCGTCACTGCACCATTCATTGCACCAACCCCCCACGGACGATGACGTGCAAAATTTGGCTGTCTGGGGTGGCCCGCCTTGCGGTATGTTGTTTTGTGTTGTCTTGTGTTGTTGTGCTTGATTTTGTTTGTTTGTCGCTACGGTAGTGACTCCGGCGTGTGTCTTCTCTGTGTTATTTCTCTGTCTCTTTCCCTTCTTCCCATCTGCTCTCTTCTCTTCCTTTGTCTTTTTCTTTCTTTGTCCCAGTCTATGGGTACCTCGCATAGTGTGTAGAGGCGAGCGGAGTGTCCTAGACTCTCTGTCGTTTATTTCTATTGACTTCCGGACACTTCTGGTCCATTTTAGTTTCGTAGCCTCTTTGGGTAAGTTAGCCTGTGACCACGGGAATCGACTGCGTCAAGTGTTAGACTACTAGTACCGACAGAAGAGGGTACTAGGTAGAGAGAACGGAATTTTATTTTTCATGTGAAGACAACAACAATAACAACCAGGTTAGGTTTCGTGTGCGTGGGAATCACTAAAGGTCGCTGATTCGTACTTGATATGATTAATCATTTTCGAAAGTGTCATATTCAAAAATAATGTAGTCCATACAACCAAAATATCCTCAATCGCATGTCAAAGGTGGGTAGTTTTAAGGAGCCGCGGAACGCGAAGCGCGACAATTATTTCCCTCCTTCGAAGGAGGGAAAAAACAGGCTCTATCTACCAGGGACCCAACTTCCAATAAAAACGATTGCCCGAATCGTACCCTTATCGACCAGCACGAGGCCTATAGAGCACCGATTGTCGATGTACTGGCGTGTGAGGCATGTGTGAGGAACAAGAAAAATAGGGTGCTCTTTACCACACCGGTTTGGTCGTGCTCCAACAGCAGATGGCCGTGCTTCACCGGCATTTCACAATTACCCTAAACACCAAACACATGTAGTCTAGGAGATACTCACCCCGATCCCCGCGGAGTTGTAGAGGAATTACATTGAGGACCAAAAACCCGGAGATCTCCAACACCCGCAGAAGCAGTCACGCAGTTGAAATACTCAACACCCCTGGGAGGCGCAAGACAGCGCTGGCGAGGGAAGGGAGCCATGCACACAGCTCGTGGCGGATGCCATTGACGTTGCTGCTGCTTCGGTGGGTAGGGAGGGATCACCTTGAAACAAACCAGTGCCTGCCACGGCCGGTGTTCTTTCTCGCATGCATGCATTTTGCCGACTCTCGCCACCTCAGGTTCCGTGGGTCCTATGGCCCCATGTTCTCCAATAGCCGCCACACAAGACGTTGCACACACACCGCTCGTGGGGAATAGTTTCACAGCTGCTGTTGCGTCACCCTGTGCAGAGAAACCACCGAAACCCCAAATCACTGGGGGAACGTCTGGATGACGTCAACAGTATGTTGCGAAAATAAACACCCCCCCTGCACCGCTTTTTGAAGCTCGAGGACGCCACGTCGAAGAGGATGCGTACACCCAGCAAGATGTTGTTGGAAAGCTCTGGACGAGACGGTTTTCACATCAACACTATCGGCACCGCCACTCCTTTTTGGGTGGGACAACCGAGCTTTGAAATTGGTGGGACCTTTGAAATTGGTCCAGGGGGTGTGGTATCTTGTGTCGCCTAAGGTACTGCTGCATACACACGCGACAACACGGCCGTTCGTTGCAGGAGCTATTGAGTATTTATTATTATGACCGACTGCCACCCGCCATCGCACAAAAGATTGACTACTGCGAGGTTTGAGTCGGCTACCCCGCGGCTTAATACTCCGCCCTACCTAGTACCAAGTGCGATGGAGTAACAAACCCGACGATGTGGATTCGAATTCATCCGTGGAAACTATGTACATACAACTGGTGCAATGTTGTAAGTGGGTGGAAACCGCGACAATGTTCGTTCATTCACATGTGGGATGGGTCTTCTCTTCGAAGAACGCTCTTCCAAACAGCAATACAAAGACTACCCGTTCGAGGAAAAAAGTCCCGATCGGAGGGTTCAGGACTCGGTTATCAATTTGTCTACGGTGATGAGGAAACCAACCTTTTGGATGGGTATTCGAGTTCATCTGAAGAACTGAACGCCAGTGAAATATGGATACCGTGGCTGAGATCTTGGTGGTATCCTGATGATACTCCGTCTCTCCGCGCACGCCCCAGGCACGCCCCACGCAGGCCACACCATTCGCGCTTGTCTTGGGAGCTAGACTCTTTTTGTGTTTGGCGATCTCATCGACTGGTGCATAACACGGTCTTCATCACAATGAAGGGTATCGCGAAAATGATCTGTCTGCTACTCGGGCTTCTAGCCGTTCGCACGGTAGGAGCACAGCAGCAGCAGCAGCAGCAGCAGCAGCAGCAGCAGCAGGGGGAACGGGTGGTCAAGACGTGCGGGGACCTGCCATCGTCGGAGCTAACGGGGATCACGACACTGTTGAACCCGATTTCGTGCGACCCCCCGGTGGTGAGCTACAGTGCCTTGGTTTGCTGCCCACCTACTTCGAACGTTCTCTCTCTCTCATGCTCACTCGCTGCCTCTTCGGCGGGTTATTACCCGATATACTGCGGCAGTATCATGTTTAGTCAAGGATGCGCTCCAGTAACGGGTAGAGGGCGGAAGACATACCTACCCGAATGCGACCAGTGCAAGAAGTACGTTGGCTCGTCGTGTTGGAAGTCTCCCTGCCTGGCGGCTGTTGGAATGTTGCGTGGCTGTTGTGTGTGAATCCGTTCTATATGGTGTAGCGTTTGGTTGCACCTTTTGGCCTACTTGGCCGACAGATCAGAATTTCCCCCGGAGCGAAGAGGGCTCAGATCCTTGTTGGCAGCCGTGGGGGCTGGGGGCCGGAGGTGTTGGATCCTCGGGGATCAAACGAGAACTTTCCATTTGATTTGTGATACGGCAGATGCGGAAGTATGTTGGCCTTTCCGTACCATTCACGCGCATAACCCGTTGCCCGATTCTCTCGTTGCACGATGCTTTGTGCTGTAGATGCTACACGTGAGGGACGAGGCCTTGCTGCGTTCGGACGGAGTCATCGAAACGACCGGGATACACTTCTTGGTACACGAACACGGGACCCTCCATGCCAGCGGCAAGGCGATCGAGATGAGGAGGACCACGGTGCGTGCCTTGCACCAGATCGTGGGCTATGTGAAATGTCGAGCACTTGAGTGTTCCAACGCAGAAGTGCGCTCTGTTGACCGTGAATATCGTTGGTCTTCCGGGGAGGTTTCGTAAACATTGTTTCCACACATTTGATGGATATACGATTATGTCGTGACAGGCGTCCACACTACTGAGTACGTGCAGTTCTACCAGAGAGGTTGTTCGTCGAGCCACGTCGCGGTATCATTGCCAGGTACCAACGTTCAGAACATCACATTATCAGGGAATTCACTCCCGATGTAGACTGCAGCTGTTTGTAGCCGTTTCGCGATGTTCCCAAATACCATGCAGCACGTGCATACTGCCGTGCGCCGGCACAGTAATGAGAATTGCACCTTCGATAGTCCTGCAGTGTATCTCGTCTTGGTAGTGAGTACCCTGAAAGAGTGGAGCGCATCTAGACTGCTGTATATTGCGCCCCAAAACTGAAAATTATAAAATACCCAAAACAAACATATTGCGCTGAGACCTCAGGCGAGGATGGAAACCTCGCTTCGCTCGAATAATAATGGACACCAGAAAAAATCCCTCCAAGCCGCGATAGTATTTACATGTTCCCTCCGGGTCCATTTTAGTTTCGTATACCTCTTTTTGGTTAAGTTAGCCTGTGACCACGGCAATCAACCCTGTCAAGTGTTTGACTAATACGGACAGAAGAAGGTACTGGGCAGTGAGAACGGAACGGTATCAATGTGAAGACAACAACAACAACAACAACAACAATATTGCGTCCCCAAAACAACAACAAACACAATCCCCAAACTCAATAATCCAGCGGCCATATCATGCATGCGGCCGAAGAAACACAGCGACTCGTGACTATTGCGCGTGCATGTATACGTATTCTAGCATATTTATTGCCGATTTTGCCGAAAGCCGAAAGGAAAAGGTATCTGCTGTTGCGTGAACAGCGACGGCACCGATTCATGGTGAACAAGGAAGCGGACCTCCATGAGTGAAGCATCAGATGGAGTTATCGCCTACTGTCGAGTTTGTTATGGTTTGCAGGAAGCATCAGCATTAGCAGAAGCGAGAAAATAGCGGTAGCGGTAATAGCAGCAGCAACCGCGGCAGAGCAGCACTGCCAAGGGCAACATCAACAACACCATCACGCAAATGAACACCAGCACGACGACCGGCTTGTCCTGTTTTGTCGTCCGACAGGATATGCCCCCGCATCTGCACCTGATCATGGCCCATGGCCGGTTCAACCTGCACGTCACCGACTACATCCCTTCTATTGCCGGCGCGGCCGAGGTAAGGGCGGCGCATTTCGCTCCTTTCATCCTCCCAGTCGAACTTTGTGTTCAGGCGCACTATTCAACCAGAAACAATAGCTCATCACTACATGTGCTCGCGCTGACTTCTGTTTGGATCTGCGTCTGTAGTTTTGTAGACTTTGCAACCCTTCAGACATTCGTTGAGGGCATGGATCCCATTCACCTCGTTTCTCGATGGATTATTGGTATAAATACTTCTGATACAAAAACTTGCGGAAGTACCTGCACTGGACATCATCGGTGTGCTTCATTTGTAGAGGGAGAACACGCTTCGGGGACAAGTCCAAAACACCGAAGTTTCAAAACGCGCGTTCGGATGTTGTCATTTCTCGTACAGACCGTGTGGGCAGAGAGAGCATTCGGATTTCCTGGTCTTGGGTTTGAAAAGGACACGATTCATTCGATATGCCTACAAATATTGATGGCGGGTTCATTCGTACGTACTCCCGGACGCGTTTCTGTTCTCGACGAATAAATGCAGTCTTTCTGTATGCTGCCTGCCCTCAACGCCCCATCGATCCGCCCATGTTCACGCAGGAGGACAAGCGCACCATCGTGTGGGAGGGTGCTGAGGGATTGTTCCAGTCAAGAAACACCATGGTTAGGTTCACCGAGCATTCGATGGTAGTCTCCAAGATCCCTACCGCCAACGAGGTATGTAATTGGGATGAAACATTTGCCGAGACCGCCAAATGTCAAAACATGTCGCGTCAGCTGTTAAGAAAAGCATAGAGGCTGCGCGCTGGGTACGGAGAAGATCGAAATTGGTTATGCGCATACATATGGTCGATACACGCTTGTCGTCGGTAAAGACTCGTCCCCCTGCCGGCGTGTAGTTGTTGTCGTTTCCGGTGAGTCTCGTTTCGTTGCCGCTCTTTGCTAAAGAAGGAACAGAGAATGGAAGTCGTCTCCGCTCTTTTGCGACACGCTACCTCTACCCCCTTTGCGCAGAGTAACGAGCGCAGACACACTACCACTTGCCCCCTTCATTGTTCTATTTCCCAGCCTTTCCCCCCATGCACCTGCTACGTCGACGAAAAACGACATGGGAAACCTTGTTCTCCTAATAGAAATTTCCCCGCGCTGTTCCCTCCGTCCTTGCCGCACACCTCTCTGTCCCTTCACTGCCTGCACTGGTACGTCTTCTACAATCGAAAACACCAGATCAAGGGGACCGAACCGGATGGCTTCTTGCTGCTGGAAACCACAACCAAACGGGAGGTGTTGGCTAAGCTCCACGCTGAGCTCCACGCCAGGGCTGGCCTGGATGAGGCCGACAAGGAACCCGCGCCCCCCACTGCCGCCATCGCCGACCCTGTAGCGCACGAGGCGACGATTCCCGTTGCGAGTGACGGCAGCTACCCTGCTGAGACCACCACAGTCGCCGACATCGAGGATCAACCGTCAATTCACCAAACCCCACCGGTCCCCATCCCGTCGCCCAACTTTGTCATCAGCAGCAACCGTGGCAGCAGCGGCAGCGGCGATCTCCCCTCATCCCTTCCTCACGCTAGCAGCGACAGCAGCAGCGGTGGCAGCAGCAGTAGCAACGGCAGCAGCGGCAGCGGTGGCAGCAGCAGCAACGACGGCAGAAGCGGCAGCGGTACCGGCGGCAGCGGTACCGGCGGCGGTGGTGAGACGAGAGACGATGAGGAATCGGCCCGTTCTCCGAACATGAAGGTACACCCAGCACTTTCGCTGAAGGTCGGGGAGGTACTGACCGGCACCCTGATGAGCCCCACCATGGGCTCCCGGATATTCGCCAGCCGTGAGGACGGTGCCATTGTTTTCGCCAAGGCTACGGGCGAACCCCCACGCGATGCTGACGGCCGAGTGACGGGCCCGACGCCGGAGACGATCACAACGTTGGTGGCATCGGACCCTGGCAAGGTCGCCAAGAGGTCTGCCATCCGTGCGGAGCTCCTTGCGGAAGAGCTGCACGAGAGGACAGCCCAGGCCGAGGGCAAGAGCGGTAAGCGAGGGGCCCTGGCAACGATTGCCGGGTGGATGCCGTTCGGTAAGGGCGGCTTTCTTCGGAGGCGAGCACGAGAGCACGCCAAGGTCCACATGGGCGAGGTGAACCTGTATGTGACCAATAGGGGTCACCTGGTAAGTGCGAGTGCTGTAGATGGCTGTACGTGACAAAAGACATGTTGATGTAGGAGATATTCAATAGACTGCCTGTTCCTATCAACCACGCCCCATGCAGAAAATGGAAACTAGGCAGAGATTTTCTGCGAAGTTCCCGCCTCAAATGGACGTCGCTCTCGCAAACCTGTTTGGCGACAAGAAATCGTTCTCCCCGTGACTCCACCCGGCGTAACAGACCAGCAAATGCTTCAAAATGCCACTAGCATGGGCCGGGCTCACGGTACATGTGCCCGGCAACATCACACCCGATCGCCCTCTTCTCAACTTCGGTCATTGTGTCAAACGTTTCATAAACCATTGCAGGAGGGTTCCGTCGATGGAACGAGAGTCGCCCGCAAGTCCGGACCTTCGTGGTTTGGCTACCGCACGAAAGACCCCTCGTATGAACTCTGGGTTTCCCACAGTGGCGTGGAAATCACCCGCAACGGGATGCTCGATTGGAGCATCGAGGCTGAGAACAAGGTTTAGCCAACTTCGTGTTGTACGCTCTGCTACTCCCGTGTCTCAAACCGAGATGCCGAAGAATTCCTGTGAACACGATGTATGTGGTTTCGATTTGACTTAGGGCACCGTGAAAATGAACTAACGGTTCGTATACTTTCGAGGCTCGTTGACGGCAAGAACGTAGGGAGAAGAGGATGACAAGCAGGCTTTCGGCTATATAGACAGTAACTAATCATGAGAGGGTGCTAGTGTGCCTATGCTACATAGAGTGCCTGCTCTCGTTACTCGTAACTGGAGTGTGTGTAGAAAGGTGTGTGTCGTGTTCAAGAGTGAGAAGGGGGAAGGGCCGGAGTGTGTAGACTACAAGTGTATATTATGTCTGAGCGAGGTTTCATGGTTGCCCTTGGTTACGAGTTTGTTTGTTTTGGAATTGGGCACGTCTGGAGGTCCTAGCATCCGAGGAATACAGGTTGGGTGGCAATACAGGGACGAGTGCATGGGCGGAGGGCAGAACACGGTCGTCCTTGAGTCTAGTCGAGAGCGGCACATACACGGCGGAACGTGTGTTGCCATGTGGGTTTGGACTGCTCTATGTAGTCTTCTCTTCCAAGCTGGTTTTGATCTGAAATGGCTCCTTTCTTCTTCGTTGTTACTTTCCCGGATTTTCCTGCTTTCCCAGGGCTCCTCCGCCCCTCTCTCGTCGCCTGACAGCGCAACATTTCTTTCCAATGACATTCTTTTCGATAACAATATGATTCTGTGGAACTCTCCGGTGCACATTGCAAGCTGGGCTCACTAATCTGGGCACACTTGGGCACGGACTTTCATCGATCGACGACGTGGGCAGACCGTCTCCTTCCCGTCACTCCCTTTCCCCCCCGCCTCGTCGTCCATGCTCTCGCTGCCGTACGGTCTTATTCGTTCATCATGTGTCTTCAAACATTCACGCTATTGTTCTCTTCTGGACGCGAGGACACGTATTGTTCTCTTCTGGACGCGTGGACACGTATTTGTAGGTATGCATTCGACTCTCCTTCTCGAAGAGTCACCACGCCGCACACAATGTATCTCCACTCTCTCTCTCTCTCTCTCTCGCATTTGAATCGATCGACATCATGGATGGATGGGCTCTATTTTACCTACCTACCTCTCCCACTAGACCTTCACCAAGGTCTCTCTATGAAATATTTTTCCCTCCTGACTGCCATTGACCAACGCGTACATTTTCTTCGACTGCACTCACTGCTGAATATTTTTCTGCTCTCGTTGTCATCGCCTACATACACACATGCAATGCGTTGATCTCCTCCTGGAAACATTCCGATTTTACACGTTCAACAAGAAGACAGTCGATTCTCTTCGCGCGGCGGCGGCGCGAAGCGCCAATATCCCTATAACCTACGATAATATTTTAGGGACGACGAACTGACAGGCAGGTGCTACTCTGCGTTTTTGTCGTTGATGACACTCAACCTTCGCTAGCGTCAGACAAACAGGATATTGCATTGTTGCGTCTGTCTTCGTTCCGGCCTACATCAGGTATTATTGCACGTCATCCATGGTGGCGGCGCGACAAGCCCCTGTAAAGTCCAATAATATGCTCTTCCGTGTACACTAGTCTACTCTACATGCCCGGCCTTTTCCTGACCCTTCAATCAAGTGTATTCTTAATTCAGCACAATGCAACAGAGCAATGGCAAGTGCATTTTTCACCTTCTGCCTGGCCTCTGCACTCAATATTAACCCATGCACCTTGGGATTCGGAGGCAGACATGTTTGGGCGGTGGCGCGACAGCGCCAAGAACCTTTTTCCCTTTGTTGTACCTGTACGGGGGTGATGTACATTATCCTTATTCGTGCCCATGGGTACCCATGGGCATACCCATGGGTACGGTCCATGCACAACAATTTGTCCATTCACGTTTTGTGCGATATCTTTTTAAAGAAAAAAAATTGAAACGCGAAACAACGATATTCGATATTCGTGACCGCCTCGTCGAGCTACGTCGATAGCTGCAGAGGTTTTTTCATTTTGGGAAAATGCGACATTTTTGACCAAAATGATCCACGGAACCCCCTAAATCAGCATAGTACCCCCTGTTTTCCTCCGCGGAGCCCCCATATATTACCACGGTGCCCCCCATTTATCATTGCGGAGCCTCCTCTATCACCACGTTGGCCCCCATTGTTGCGCCAAGGCACCCCCATTTTATGCCACGGTGCCCCCTCTGTGAAATTTCCCCGCGTCCATACCCTTCTTACTCACAACTGATCGCGCACTAGTGTAATAAATAATATACACGCAATGCAGGACGAAAACACATGCACAGTCTATTCGCATGCACAACACTTCACTCTATCACTCTATATATAATTAATATATACAAAACTTTCGGAGGCAGTCAACCGCAAGGGAGTGCTGGAAAAAACAACAAGGCCCAAAACACAAAAAGAAAGGGAACACGCAGCAGGCGCACAACAAACCCGGCAAAGCTGTTGAACAAACATTTATTTGTACAGCGCTGGCATGCATGCGCACGCAAAACACACATCACGACCATCAAATCTGCCCCGCGGTCATGGGAGAGCGCATCACCAGCACCGGGTGGAAGCTCATGTTGCTGCGCCGGCTTCGGCTTCTTAGGAGCCGCCCGGCCATCGGCTCCGTGATAGCCGATCTTCTTCTTCTTAGGTCGCCCCCTAGGATTCCCCATGGTGCTTGCGTGGGTATTTTGTGTTCTTCGGGCTGCAACGTGTGCGAGAGTTGTTTGTGCGTGTTGTGTCGCCCACCAAAGCACACCCACCCATCCATGGTGCGGCACAACATGTTGATTATCTCGAAAACTAGATTTTTCCCAGCAAAACCCCAAAAACCCCACCTGTAGATCGACGATAGGGATCGTTTGCCACTGTTTATTTTGAAATCGGTCGGGTGGTTGTCGCGCTGTAAACGAATCAAGTTGATCCTCTACATTCAGTTATTCTCTGATATCTCCTGTAATTTCGAGAATTACAAAAAAAAAAAAAATCCCCAACCGCAGAATTCCGACGTGTGTCCAAATCCGTTGAGTTTTTTGGCATCGGCAATAAACACCACCCTGTGTAAACGAATCAAGTTTTAAAGGTGTTTCGGGGATAAAAAGTCAAGGAAAAAAACAACAAAACAAACTCTCCGTCACGCCATGCGCCTGGAAACAGGGCGTTTGCTGGTACTTTCAGATTTCGGAACAACCACGTGTGTGCAGAGAAAAGTTGTCATTTGTGCTGGGGGAATTTATGGATTCATTGTTGTGCACGGACTATACCCAAGTACCCAAGGGTACCCATGGGCATTGCCCATGGGTACCCATGGTCGTGCCCATGGGCATACCCATGGGTACCCGTGGTAACCCATGGGCAATGCCCATGGGTACCCATGGGTACTTATGGGCATTGCGCCCATGGGCACCCATGGGTACCCAGGGCCATGGCACTTGGGACCCTTGG